TTACATTGGCTAAATATTGAACATAGTTTAACATTGACACTCTTGTAAGCATAAGAAAAATAGAAATGCACAATTTTTGTATGCAGTCGTCATTTTGAAGGAACTTTTATGAAAATTTTATTAATTTTCATGAAATGAAATATTCAGCCCCTCGATCTTTGTTGGTGAGTTAATAACACAATGAAATTGCATGGATTTCACAACCAGTCATGTAAAAAAACGGATGAAACGTTCAAAATCAAAATTGAATATATATCCCAATACCGCATCATCCATGCTTCAGTCCTGAAGTCAAATTGAGGTTTTATTGGTACACAACTTGAGAATGAAGGGGCAGGAAGGAGAACAGCTCGGAGATAGGAAGTTTATCCAATATTGTAGTCAAATATCAGCGATTCCCAGGAGATTAGGCTTGTAGAAAACCAATAGACGTCAAATATATGAAGTACAAGTGGAGGATTTGTTGGGAAAGTTGCAGGAACTGGTGGAGAGCAAAGTAAAAGCAGAGTATATTAGCATAGATATTGATGCTCCAAGGCTTCCACCACCACCAGCTCTTCATCATGAGAAGGACCCCAACAAAATCTCAATTTCCATTCCCATCCAACCAACCATCCACCCACCCACCAACAATCAACAATTTCAAGACCACCAGCTTTCACCAAAGCCACTTATGTATCAGGCACAAGCGTACATACATACGACTGTTCATCTGCTTTGTTCTAATAAAGCATTTTTTATATAACAATAAATATGCTCCAAGTCAGCCTAATTAAAAAACGTATATATTCACAAGTTGTAAAGTATCCCTGGTTGGGTAATTGCTGCTTTATTACTCCATTTAGGTTAGTTTTGTGGAAGCAAAAAATCACAAATGGCTTGAAGCTATACTTATAAATAAATTCTACATCAAGCTGAATACGTATTGTACCTTTAGAGCAAATCTCAGAGTTTATGAATTCGAAATTTCAAAAAGCATGAATGAGAATGGTTAAGTTGGTGCTTCTCAAATGTACAGATGTTCAAGTTGGTATCAACGTGTGCATGGGATTACGCATACAACTATATGTACATATTCAATGTGGTGAAGATCCCAAACTTGAGTTTTCAGCATTTTTGTACAACTTATAGATATTCAGCCATTGCATTTAAAAATTATGTATCTTGCTGGAAACTTATTCGAGAAAGTCCATCATAACTGACGCCGAAACATCTGCACATTAAGCTTTGTTGCTGTGATCATTGATTTTTAGAGACGACTTAACCGAGACAGCATCAGAGGAGCTATTAAGCAAGGTATGGAATAATTTGTAAAGGGTTATTATTACTTGCACACTACAATACCACACTACTGAATATATGCAACTGATCCAGCCAGTCATGCGCTGGTTTACCCCCATATCAGATCTTTTCGGGATTATCTCCTGTGAAAGTTCATTGTTTTCTAATTTAATGATGATTGACACAAATCACTCTATTGAACTCATCACTCGCTCACCCTCAAAACACGAGCCGTACAAATCCTCCCATACATAAAGACAGCAAAAGTTTTTTTGTCTGTTGGCCTGATGCAGTATTTTATTTGTTTGCTCCTTTTGGTGTTTAGTAGCTCAACTTTGGTTGGAAATAATCTTGCTTTTGCATAATAATTGAATGCGTAAATTGTATATGAATTGATAGACTGGGGTATGGATACATACATTCACTGGGTGTTTTCTCCAACCTGTCTGCAACCACCGACACAAAACATTCTATACACAGCATATTAGTAAAACTCATTGAAGCCGTTAAATCATGACGGGCAAAATGGAATGGTTAATGTGCACCCCTTAATAAATAAATAAATAATAAAACCTACCGAAACCAACAGCCAGCAAAACGCTTGTGTGCATTCATCGTCGCTTAAGCGTGAAATCATCAGGACAAATTGCAATCCCATTTCCATTCAGGGAACACAATGCCAGCCTTCCCACTAACAATGAGAGCCTCCCCGCTTCCCACCCACCGGATCAATCTGATTTATCCTTTCTCAGTCGCCTCATTGTCAAACTTTACGTATCAATTTAGAAAATAAGCAGAATGATTTAATTATCACAATGCAGATCCGCATTTCGCTTTCTCATGCATCGTCAAAAATGGGTATATTTTAGAAGTAATCTTTGATTTTCTGGACTGTGTTAGATATTCTCATATGCTTGAATTCCACACACACACAGACACAAAATTTGTATCCAGAACACATCCTATTTTATTCTCTCCGTTTTTCTAAGTGATACTGTGAAAACGAGACGGGAAATAAATCGGTGGGGAGTGGGAGGAGTGCGGAGGGGTTGATTGACAAACTATACGGAGGAAGTGGCTGGCTGGCTGGCTCTAACTTTTTCATTTCAGTTTGAAAATCTCAATTGCAGAGAAGAAAAGTGTGTTGTGGGCACTTGGCATCATGATCATTATCACGAAAAATTATTATCATTCACCAACCACCAGCAAACCTTTTGAGTTCTGGTGCTCAATGGGGAAGGGCCCGTTCCTTTTTGCGTCCTTCCTCAAGTCCTCCACAATCAGAGGAGTTGAGGAAAAGTGGACTTGGATGGATTGGCATGGTGTCAAAACGGTGGGGGATATCCATTTCAGACATCCCATTGAGAGTTTAAAACTTGAATGCAATTCTACGTATTTGCCAACCTTCCTCCCTTCATTCAATGGCAAATTGTTCATGATGACAAAAAGGTGGGACGAATTTATTTATTACAGGAAAAGAAATAGCTACAAATTGAGAATTTCTACTGAATACCTTGTGACTGTTGCCCAACATTGTCTGCCACCCATAATGGTTAATTTTTGGGTGTCTATTATGAATATGTATGTATGTCCTCCTTGCACATTATGACAATTTACACTGGGTGCCTTGCTGCGTATGTACAGTAGTTTCGTATCTGTATTACATTTGTATTAGCGGTTGACAATACAAGCCTGATTTGAAAGAAAAGGTCTTCTTGTCTCCAAATGATTCATATATATTGTGAAAAAATGGGCATATCACGAACTGCTCCATTTCCTATCTTTCAGAGGGTGCAACCAAAACCAACGACGATCAGGGATTGAATTTATTGTCCTCTATTTTCATTCTCATTCACCATTATCATTCGTCCTCAAGGGTTGGGTAAAAATTAGCCACAAAGAACAGCAATGAATCATCGGTGACATAGCAAAGCCCAAAAAACATATTGGAGTCGAGGAAATAAATTGACCAGGACTAATCTTTGGAGAGCTGTTTCTGATTATGATGCTATATTTTACAGACAACGAAGCTTCCTGGGTGCACAATTTTAGTTTCCTTTTCCCTTACATACGACAACCTAAGGTAAATATGGCGTGAATGAGTTCTATGCCCAAGATGAATTGGGTGCTTTCTTTTTTATGCTTCAATTTGATGCTGATCTGCTGAACCCAGTTACATTGTATTTACTCTTACCTTGCAACAATTTAACTCGCTAGAGCGAATATCGTAATGCCACATTTGTTAACCGACTTCCTCTCCTCCTGTTCAGCAGATTGGATGAACACTAATAACCATATTATACAATCGCATTTCTTTGAGCACATTATTCTATGTGCAACATCTTTGAGATTTGAGATTGGACGGATTATAAAGGTAGGTGCAGAAGAGGTCTCAAGTCTCAACTTCTCAACATCGAGTCTCATCACCCATCTCCATAACCCTTGATTTTAGGAGCTTTTCAATAGCACATTGTACAAGAGGCAGTATGCAATACCTGTATATGTAGTACATACATATGTTTGCACAACAGCTTTACAGAACTTGCAATCATTTAATCATAAGTTTTCTAACACAATTTTTGCGCAGCAAGCTTATGAAATTGATGCCTTCTTCCTATATTTCCGATAGTGATTAATTCGATGAAATTCTTAATGATCAATGATTGTATGCGTATCCAGTGGATTACAAAATTTTGCAATGGTCTATGCGATGGCGACCTTGAGTTGAGAATTGATTTTTCAGGAACGGTCTGACCCCAAATTCGATAAATGAAAATGCATCGGCAAACATTAAACAATGCGTTTGTTGATTGTGCTAACACTAACACCAACAACTAATATGTACTTTCCACTTGTTTAGTTACACAGACATAGAAACCCACCTCGCAGTAAGTGAGTAGTGGTACTTGGTACTGTACTGCTAGGTGGGCAGAAAAGTTATCATCATCGGTCCAGGCAGAGCTACATACATACGTATAAGTACTAGACCCAGTCTGATTGTTATGGAGAAAGTTGCTCCTCATTCCACCCGTGTTCGCACAGAACAAATATTTTCAATTTGTATTGCTACTATAGCACATTATTAGCACAGGTTACACATTATGTATCATCATCATGAACTATAAAGGAACAGCAAACTCTTCGTCACGCGATCAGTATTTGTATTTACAAAGCTAACAACGGAGAGTATGTATACCGGTAGAAGTACATGTTGAGATGGAGATTTACACATTTAATTGACTTTCGGTGATGCCACTAGATCCAAAGTTTATAAATCAAATAAAATCATGTAATTCCAATGCATATGTATGCTTGATACCATTTTGATTGCTACACAAACACCTTAGTTTTCATATTTTTCTCAAAATTACTATCTAAAAATAATATTAAAAAATATGGTTTCTGTCTAGCTAGCTGAGGCTTAAAAAATCATTAATTGTAGTATAAATGTAAAAAATAAAGGTACAAATGATCCGTCGAAAAAGATGCATGTGGTATCTGGTATCGAGGAGCCGCATATCGATTACCCGATTACGTCGCCATCAAGACACACCATTCAGTACTTTCTCATCCGGATTATTGGTATATAGAGTAATAGGCAGGCATAACTGCTGGGTATGAGATGGAACGTTATTGTTCATCAGTGTTTTTATACATGTGAATCCAAATTTTATCCCCTTCAAAAGTATCAATAATAATTGATTCAATATTTTCAAGGATCCGTCATAAAATGTGCAACTTTACTTGCAACTTTTAATAGAAAATTTCATAACTGTATATGAAGAAATAATTTTGTCGTTCATAAAGTAACACGTTTACATTTAAAGCTAGATAGCGAATGTAAAATAAACGATATGGTAAAACGAGGTAGTACAAAAAAGTATGATTATATATATGTAACAGCGAGTAAATAACTGGGAAAATTTAAAGCATACATATTGTTGCAATTAGTCATGTCGCAAACTAGGGACAGACTGACTCAATGACCACGACGACAACTATGTAATCCATTTAGCAATGCGCGTCCTACGACCCCTGAGATTAAACTAACTATGCATAGTGTTCATTGTTGTTGTAGTTGGATAGCAGCAGAACCTGGCGGCGCTTCTCTCTCCTCAATGCCGTCGCTTTCTGTGACCAATGCCCTCTCCAAAATTACTCGCCCTTCCTTGTAGCGTTGGTTTTCTACAACACATTAAAGTGAATTTATACATTTGTAACGCGACAAAATGTATACCTTGCCCGAGTTATCGTTCTATATGTATAATACATAATTTTAGAGACTCACCTTCCGTCGCAAATTCATAAATCCAACCCAATTTAGTGTCACAATTTTTACAGGATACGTCTCTCACCATGTGACGCCCTGTGAGCATAACGCGATCCTGAACCTCACTGGAAATACACAAGGATTACACCTCCATAATCGTTAGCGATAGTTCAATGATGGTGGAAAATTAACTACAAACGAACCACCTGTAGGTCAGGTTGACCACTTTACTGAATAAGAAGGCACGTCCAGTTGCCCCCGTGAAGCGAGTGCTGATTAACTCGGAACGGTTGGTGAGGACGGTGTCACATGAAGCACACGAAAATAAGCGATTTCCACCTGGATGCTCAAGAAAAATTCGACCCATCCTGAAAGAAACCAAACAAACCTTTTCATTGCAAACATCGGAAACTTCTTATATTTAATATACGCATGATGTAAATAAATCTCACCTAAGTAATTTTGACGAGTTTTTTGCAAGGTATGAAATACTTACAATACAAGGATTTTCTCCGTATGAATGTAATAAATAACACCACAAATTAAAAGAAGCTAACAATTACTTTGTTCTAAGCATTCAATATTTTGGAAAATCAGCAGGGAATATTTACTAACAGATCTCTATTTCCGTGACGTAAACATTGAGCTTGTCAGCTGAGCTATGCGGAAGTTTCACGGGGCATGAAAAGAGAGTGAGTCAGGCGGCAATCATTCGTCTCTATTTTTGTCACGGTTAAAAAACGCATGGAAAATTTATAGTTATTTTTGAGCGGAAAGTGAAATGTATTGAAGTCCACATCCGGTTATTTTACGGAAGGGTAAGTAAGAATATATTGGTAGCTTATCTGATTACTAACTAATGGACGGCACAGCAATGTCAACTGCTGTTACAAATTGTAACTTACAATAGTGATGCAACATGATCCTTAAAAATAAAGTTCACGTGTTATCAAAGTTTAATTGGTTATTTTTTATATAGATTATATATGGTTGCATACGAGCAAAAGATACGTCGGAGATCAAATGTCGAAAAATAATATTGCCAACGACCTCGTTTTGGTTTTGAACGGGTTGTTGAAGGTGGCCCGGTCTGGTGCTGTCATACATAAAAGTAACGTCGAAACAATTTTGCGGAATTCCAATGTTAGGAAAGTCGTGGAAAATACACCTAGTTTATTTATAAATGTAAGATTTACTATTTTTTCTGTACGATAATATAAATACACTCTATGTGCAATTTTAAATTATACTTTAAATGTTATTTTTAAATATTTATAGAGTGTTCCATCGGATTTTGAAAATACCATTCAACGTGCATCCATGATTCCTGTGGGAATTTCTCAATTTGCTACAGTTGCACCAAAGTATATCCTCCCTGATAGGCTGACAAAAAGACATGAATCAAAAAACAAATCAGAATCAACAAACTTTATCCCGGACGAAGAAATTCTAAATATTCGGGAGGAGGACTTGGAAGGACTTTATATTCAGTCATTGGGAGTAGAAATTTTACAACAGAATGCGGATGGTAAAAGATACTGTGAAGAGGAGGAGAAATCTAACAGTAATAAAAATTGTGGAGATGAACATCAACAAAAAGTGGGATCTTTAAGTAAACCTAGTTCAATTTCTAGTTCGCATACACGAGGCGATGATTTAATGAATGCATTAGTCGAAGAAACGTCCCGAGTACTTCAACAGGATAAAACGAAATCAAGGGCGCCAATGGCTCCAAAATTTATGCAGTCATCAATAGTGGGTAATCCCTTGCCGTCACACTTTTGTAATGATGACGTCCAGACGTTATCTTCCATTCCAATTCAGGAGGAACAATTAATACCTTCGATTACTGAAGTCGTCGCTCCAACCACCGCTCGTCCAACAAGTGAACCAATTAAAATGTTAATTAAACCTTTGTCAAAGAAGAAACCAGTTTCTGTAAGTATCTACCTTATTGTTCTTGGTCAAATCCAATCACTCACGAGTTAATAAATTAATTTTAGCAATTGAGTGAAACCTCGAAACAAAGAAAAGTTCCTTCAACCAGGATAAGCCGACTTGTCTCGTATGGAGGATTGGCTGCGGGTCTTGGTTTTGGTGCTCTTGCGGAAGTTACGAAAAGGTCACTCGGTCTTGCAAATCCGAGCACTGACGGATCGTCACTGTTGGACTCGAATCCATTTTTAACAGAAGCCAATGCTACAAGGATTGTAGATACTTTATGCAGAGTCAGAGGTATGATCACGATAGAATGAAACATTTATTATTTTTTTCTATTTCTAACAGTTGTTTACTGTTTATGAAGGAGCTGCATTAAAAATCGGACAAATTTTGAGCATTCAAGATAATTCAATGTTGAACCCAGAATTACAAAAAGTATTTGAACGTGTTAGACACGCAGCCGATTTCATGCCTGATTGGCAAATGGAAGTATGTATATTAGTTACTAATATGTAACACTTAATCCAATATGCCATTATTTAAGATTAGTCGACTGACTGACTATCAGCAAATCTAATCGTAATATTGCTAATCTAGAGAATTCTGGTATCCGAATTGGGTATCGATTGGCGAGAAAAGCTTTTGGAGTTCGATATCCGACCATTTGCTGCTGCTTCGATCGGACAAGTACATCTTGCAAAACTACCTGATGGGCGACCCATTGCTGTTAAAATTCAATATCCAGGCGTTGGCGAAGGAATCAGTAGTGACATTGACAATCTCATGGCGGTTTTAAGTGTTTGGAAAATAATACCTGATGGTGCACTATTTCTTAAATTAGTCTCATGTTTTGATTTATTATAAATACACTTACATATATTTAATACCTATCCATCGTTTTCAGGTGTATTTATAGATAGCATCATTACTGTTGCCAAACGGGAACTGTCATGGGAAGTTGACTATATAAGAGAAGCTAAATGTGCAAAACGGTTTCGAAAACTACTGGAACCACACCCTGATTATTACGTCCCTGATGTTGTGGGTATGATGCTAATCAAGTCTATTCTGAATTTTAAACGGTGCGACGATTAATAAAGTATAACAATACACAACTTTAATACTACAGATGCACTGACAACTAAACTTATTTACTCGACCGAGTTAATTGAAGGCATTCCAGTAGACAAATGTGAAACCTTGGATCAAGAAACTCGTGACCGAATATGTTTTCTAATGTTAGATCTATTTTTTCGAGAACTTTTCGAATTTCAATTTATGCAGACCGATCCAAACTGGGCAAACTTTTTATATAACACGGAAACGAAACAGGCAAGAATTTGTTATAGATAATCAATATGCAACAAGCAATTATAACTATATTGCCCTACAGATTGGACTTTTAGACTTTGGATCATCTCGAGAATACAATAATTCCTTTGTTGACAAATACATGAAAATTCTGGAAGGAGCTGCAAATGCAGACATTGGAAAAATTATCCATTACTCTAGAAAAATTGGATTTTTATCTGGACACGAGTCTAAGGTTTGTCAAATATATAAAAATACGACAACGTAATACTACTACTTACTAGTATAACCAAAAACGCATAATTTGAACGGATGTCATTATTCAGGTGATGGAAAATGCTCACACGGATGCAGTATTGCTATTGGGTGAAGCTTTTAGAATCGGGGAGGAACCCTATGACTTTGGGAAGCAGGATATTACTATGCGAATTCAAAGATTAGTTCCCGTTATGGTCAAGGAAAGACTGGTTCCTCCTCCTGAAGAAATTTATTCCTTACACAGAAAGCTATCTGGAGTCTTTCTGCTGTGTAATAAGCTAAAAGGGAAAGTTCGATGCAGGCAAATTTTTGAGCGAGTTCAGAAAAATTATCAATTTGATAGACCCGACACAGAATCAGAAATATAAAGAACAGAAATATATTGATTTGGCAGACAGGGACTGCATGACTGTATTCATATTTCCTAAGTGCTAGTCAAGAATATAAGGCTATTATAAATCCTTAAAAACAGATACAGTGTCATTTATTATAAGATATGATAAGATATTTACTATAAGAAATTAAACCATGTATACAAGAAATGTGAAGGTCTGGAAAAATCAAACGCGAGGAACTAAAATACGATAATCACGATTCTAGGTTGACTTCACCCCCATACAATTCAATAAACTGCAGTTGTACACTGGTGACAATTTCTTCAATAACTCTTCGCCACTGAGATTCTTGAGGCAGGGTCTTGTGCTTCCTGTTGAGAAAACTTGATTAATACTTGATTCATATTATTGTCGCCATAAAAAATGACACTAAATACCTAGATATATATTTCAACAGCAGATGTCCTTGCTTTATATACCCTCGTTGAATAAGGTCACGAAAAAATCCACGCAGAGTTTCGGCGTCCTCCGAGTCATAAATTGTAGGATCATAAAGGCTGGAAGAAATGCCCAGTCGAATTACATTTCTAGTCTCTTCAACACCGACTGCACCATTTAAAGCAGGCATCACAGTACAAACAGGCTCTGGGGGCAATGGCATATATGAGTTGTCCGTCCAGAATCTGTGTATGTCGAACTTTTCCGCAATTTCATGTGATGGTATTGAAGGTGGGCTGGTATCATGTACTTCAAAATTTAAACGACGTCTGCTGGACAAGTGAGTGGACTTACTCTGACGACTTTGGAATCTCCTTTGGCTAGTTGAGCTACGTGGAACGGATAGAATTTGAGGTGGGGTTGTACACTCAAACTCATCGTGCATGACCTCATCACAAACGAGATGAGACGGCCCTGATGCATCCTTTTTGCATTGCTCTGGATCCGACTTTTCCGTATCATTAACAATATGAGACTTGAGTGCATTGTCTCTTTCCAATGCTTGTCTGCTAGAACATGGCTCGTCTTGGGCCACCGTTACACTATCAATTTGACGCCCTTTTTTTGCCTATTGTACGAAACCATTAATACCATAAATTAAGATGTTAATAATAAATTGAAGTCTTTAATTCATAATCGTACATGCATAAAACGTATGTACCTCTTGGAATTGTAATAAGACTTCGTTCCTTATTGCTTCAGGTAAGGCACACAAATACGTTGGGTCAATCACATCTATTTCTGAATACGGATTCTTACTATCATTTATTCTAGTCTCGCTGGACATTTTCTCATTATTAGAGGGAGAGTTAGCCTTGGATTTTGTAATAGTTGTTGTAATATCATCTTCGACTGTATTAACGGAAATCGAATCCGAGTTTTGTTGCTGTACAAGAGAATAATCAATTTTATACTGTAGAGCTATTTCACGACCAATGTCTTCAGGTAATTCTCGTAGCACATTCAAATCAACGTCCCCTGTATCACTAATGGCACTTTTTAGGGCAGGCTTGGGTTTGGGAGACGCTTTGTTTTCGTCAGCCCTAACTATACTTTTGAAGTCCAATTTTCTTCGCTTAATATCTGGAGGGCTAAGACAATTTGCATCATCAGCTACCTGTTGCTGTGGGGGTAATGGTAAAGGAGTCACATTCTGAGATGCTAGCCCTCGCTTATTGGAAGACTTTTTAGCACATTCAAGCATTTGTCTCCCACGTGAAGATGCCAAGTCGAGTAGTGTTCGTTGTACTGTTTTCTTTTGATTGGAGGATTTGTCAAATTCAAATGTCAAGGTACTTAGTGAGAATCCAACCCCACGATAGTCGGCGATGGGTATTGGTAGTAACTTTACAATTTTCGATACTACGCGATAAAATGAAGACCAATCATTAGTAGGTTGAAATAATCGAGTTGACCTACATCAGAAGGACCATTTAATAACAAAAATGTCCATGTACAATGTACTATGAATGTAAGTAAAAGTAGGCATAATTTCTGGCTGACCTGCTAATGGTGTCAACTATACCGTGTCCACCTTGTTTTTTAGGCTCACCAGCACCTTTCTTGCGAGACATGATTCTTATAGAAAGTTGAGATCCTGTGGCTTGTGCCCTAGTCGCTCTTGCAGACAATTCTTTACAAAGCTTCATGAGGAATGCAAAAAGTTGATCAATGTTTGTAAATCGGATCCCAAAGTTTACGTCCAGAGAAATACTTTGTGGTCTATCAAAGCCATACTTTAATTCTGTCGGGCCTATTGCTTTGCAAGACCTATGAAACAATTCGATGAGAATATTGTTACATATTTTTCTTTGCGCTTTACATTTTATAATGTTGTTAATCTCTTACTTTACTATATTCTCTGCAGTTTTAGGACCAACCACTTTACTCAAATTCTGCATTGGAATTTGCAACAAATCTTTACAAGTTTTAGCATTGAATACGTCTTGCAATTTTGACTCAGTACTCCAACCAATGCCTGCAAATGCACATAAAAATAACCAACAACTTTTGGACCTTTGTCGTGGCGTGCAGCACACACACATAATTGATAAGAAAATGTGGGGTTATACGTACCAGGAAGTTCTCTGACTTCTAAATCTTGTATGAAATCTTGTGCATCTTCCACTTTTAGATGATGTACTCCGTTTGGTTTAGCTTTTTTGGTTGCCAATTTTGCGAGAAGTTTGTTACTACCGATCCCCACAGAAGCGGTACATTTAACGGCTTCCTAATAATTTAACGTGATTTAATAAACGTATTAAAATTCGTATAGGAAATTTAGGTTAGCCAAATATAAAAGTAAGTATAAAGTCATACGAAAATTTTGGTTCTAATAAATTCTGCCAGATCTCGAGGAGATGATCCTGGGACTTTTTTCAATATCGGTGTCGCATCGATAACCATTTCGTCTACACTAGAAGGCTCAATGTCCAAAGTGATCCTAAAAATGAATAGAAACAAGTAGTATTTATTTCATGCATTACTCATGTCAGGCAGTCTTTAGGTTGCCTACTCATCAGATCTCATCTTAACTTAGTTACTTGAGTTCAACGTACTTGGATACTACATCTAAAAATGTACCAGATACGCGTCGATATTCCTCAAAATCATAGGGAATAACTTCCAATTCGGGGCATAATTTCATTGCATCTGAAACCCACATCCCATTTCGGACCCCAAATTGTCTGGCTTCATAAGAGGCTGATGCAATATCTGACATTGAACTACTATTTTTCCCCGTAGAATGGGTAACCACTGTGGGTTTGCCTCGGAGGTGTGGTCTGCTCAGTAGCCCCACCGACACAAAAAAGCAGTCCATGTCAATGTGCATCAAGATAACTAAAGACAATAATAATTATATTAAAAACCACCTGTTCAAATGGTCCAGAATGCATTATAATAAGCAATAATACCTGAATCCACAAGAATATCTGACACGCTAAAATTATTATTTTGATCGTTTTGATGTTTAAATTCATCAAAATATTCGAAAGTATGTGAATCAATCGCTTTTCTCAAGGTTCCGATTTTGTTTTGCATGTCCTTCTTTTGATCAGAAATTAAATGGAGTCTAGAGTTGCCAAAAAAATCTTCAAGAAACCCATCTTCTGCAGCTGTTTTAATTTTCTTCCCATTTACGGGGGCTGTGTGTGTGGACAAAGATTCGTTGACTTGAATAAATTCTTCAAGTCCTCCTGATTCATCATTTTCAGGCATAATTTGACTGTTGACTGCATTATCTTCATCGCATGGAAGTAAAGCTTCATCCTGGACATTATTGTCTTCGTTGGAAGGAAGTTGTATTATATTATCGTCGTCATCATTAGAAATACTAGTAGTGTTAGCAGCAGGATTATCTTCCCCGGTTGTATCACATGCAACTGATAATACGCCAGCCACATCCACATCTAACGACTCGTTTGATTTAGAAATTCTAGAAATTGACGATTGTCCACGTTGGTTCCCCATCATTTGAGTTAAAGTAAGTTGATTGTTTTCTCTAATTAAAAATACAGCAAGGGTTAGGAGGAAGGGATTCTCATGATGTTTGGTTAGGTTAGACTTTCTTACTTATTAAGGTCATATAGTAGATAATCTCGATAATTCAATTGAACTCCTGAGTGGAAAATAATATATATGAAATAGAGTGTTATTAACACCGAATTTTTCTTGACTCACCTGCAGCGATACTATCAGTAATCCACTCGGGTTTCACTGTAGTGCCTCCATATAACCTAGGATAAATGTATACATGCTTTTAAATGTATGCACGCATATTTGTATATAAGCATGATCCGTACGATTTTGACGATTTTGACAAATTGGACGCAATTATAAAGTCTGTTTTTGCATTTCTGTAAGGATGAAACTGTCCCCCATACTGCACAAATAGTTTTCGTAGCTTAGGTTCCGGCGGGTCTAAAAATTAATTAAAATTGATTATACAAAATCAGGATCAAATATAAAAATATACGTTTTACATACCTGTGTATCCATTTACCTGCAATGCAACGAACAAGGTGTACATAATTGCAATGCTTTCGAATGAGATAAGCTAAGGGACTGTGCAAAAAGCATGTGAGCGATTTGAGGGGAACTAGGGGCCAATGCATCCTATCCTTCCCATGTAAATATAACATGGCAAGCATATAGGTCGCACTCGAGGGATTGGGGCCAAAATTCTCCAAATCAATCACATGCTTTATGCAATGCATACTAAAATCATACTGACTTCAACTACAACAAAGATTCAATTAACTTAATCACGAATGTAATAATTAATTTCAAATGTTACTTACGTAAACGGATAGTCCGTTGAATAAATTTATACCCGATGGAGGATCATTTCCAATTTTTTTAGAAGAATTTTTATTCAATTGAAGGTCTAATTTAGCCTTTTTCGCTTCCATGTAGCCTCCCTAATAACTAAATCATTAATACATGAACTATTTTATTTAGCTTCCGTGTAATGACGATGACATACCCATTCTTCAAAGCCATTGCAGTTGTTGGCGTCTTCCCTCCTCGCCCGATTTTTTTGCTTAATAGCAGCATTCGTTGTGGTGGTCGAATGTCCATTCAACACGGTCCCGGTGTAAGTCGAGGATGTGGTCGCCGACGTATCTCTTGATGTCGTGATGTCGACTTCCGTCGTATTCTTCATCCTCAATCTGGTTAATATCTTGTCACTTCATAATGAGCTTCCACAATGACAACTTCAAAATCCATTTATATATAGCGTCAGCGTCCAAGAACAAACAATAATAAACGTGTTAAGACTAATTTACCTTCACCTTTTCATATTAAGACTTTAGACCTGGGAAGAAGAATTGAAACACAACCTACAGCTACTTACCTCACAAATAATTACAACAAAGCTAAAACATTTCACTAAATTTGAAATTACAATTTAGAAGAGAAATAACAACAGTAAATAATACAGAGACATGTAGAAAACGAAAGTGACGACAAAGGAAATTCCGCTCGTTCGTCTCAGCTGACCCGCCGGGATCCAGCCTTCCAGTCAATAATATTAGTCATAGTCATTTTCAGGTATTCAGGTTAATTGTCGAATTGGAACTTGAAATTAACTGCCAATTGTGCTGTGATTTAACTGTTCTCCTAGCAAAAGTTCTACACTTGTTTCATGTAATGTGTAGAGACAAATTACATATTTATGACTGAAAAGTAAGCGTTTTACTCCTATCACTATTTTATGTTATCTAGTAGCTAATAAGAATTTCTTATTAAGAAACGTGGACAGATTATTTGCGTATTTACGAAATTACGAATGCCTCTAACTTCTTGGTGCCGTCATGATGAAAAGACTGGATGGGAAGGATATTTGGATCAGAAAATTCGAAATTTCGGAACATAAACGCCACAAAAAAGGATTCACAGCTTACAAAGTCGTATCTACGGTATGTTGCATTCATAGAAATTATCACAACATTTCAACGCTATTGAAGGAACAATCACACCCAATTGCATAATTTTTTGTTAGGTTTTTCCAAGGAATTTCCCCGATGGAGCTACAAAAATTACAGTGTGGAAACGATATAAAGATTTTAAAGCTCTGCATAAAGAATTGGAGGCCTTATTTGTTCAGTTGTATTTGAAAGGGAAATTCCCCCAATTGCCAACTGACAAGTTTTTTGGGAGATTTGATCATGATGTGATAGAAAGACGAAGAATAGCTGCTCTGGAGTTGTTGGAATTTTCTGCAACATTTCCACAACTATTCTTGAATAAAATATTTGTTAATTTTTTCGAGGTTAGTAATATAAATCTTCGTCGATACAGTTATGGAGTTATCAAGTTTATATAGTTTTACTTTATTAATAAATTTATTTAGGATGGTCTATATCCAAGAGATTTTGTTGATGCTGCTACCAGCACTGAGGACGGAAAAGACCAAAATGTTCGTGTTGAAGCCGAAGACATTAACTTTGAAGATTGTCTGATCCCTGAAAAGTAAATGTGATATAAAACGATGAAAATTTGATATGAGTTATTAAATGTGGGAAACTGAAAGAGTTTTTGATGTACTTTAGAGTGTGGCAAGAAGTCAACCCTGGTGAAGGGGTTGATGAATGTTCATCACCATCGTTTAGTGCTGCGTCCCCAGAGCCAAACTCAGTTTCTAATTTAGACACAAATTTTTCTTTGCCTATTGGTTCAATGGTTGACAATGTTTCGTCTGACAATATTAACCCAGTTCCTGATTCATCCGAATTAATGCTATTACAACACCATCCGGACCAGTTATCAATCCCTGTTGTCAACCATACCACACCGAATCCAATTGTAGTAACCTTTTCCGATATAGGCGCAAGTCTTCCCACTCTTCCAAATCATTCTAACAATGGTTCCAATTCACAACAAATATCAACTGCCGCTCCTTCGCCTTATTCTCTGTAAGTCATACACTACCTCCTTTCGTACTTTAATTTAGAAACACTGACAAGTCCTGCATGTGTCGTGTGAGTATATCTGTTATCATTTTTCCATAGTCAAGAAAGCAAGCATTCCTTCTTCAAAGGATCAACTACCAGTTTAAACGAAGACTTGAATTATTTGGAAGAATTCGATTTTTGTCAGAGTGAATCGTCTCCTCACATTCCAAACTCTTCGTCTACTTCATCGCTCAATACATGTGGTAGAATTCCAAAGACTCAGGATCTCAAGAAATCAAGTTTAAAGAAATATACTGGCTTTAATTTGTTTGATTTCTTACCAATTTTTACAAAAAAGCAAGACAAATTGACTGATGAGCAGAATTTGTCCAACTCGTTATCTTCCTACATTCGAGAGGCGGCTGGATTTATAAGTGTAGCTCAACATTATGAATCAGATTATGATTATGCAGCAGCCTTAAATTCATACACTGAAGGAATACGTGTGCTTTTGGAAGGTGCTCAATGTACGGTTTTAAACGACGCACACTTTTAGCTATTACATTGCATCTTAATTTATATTTTAAGTATATTAAGTAACTGATTATGGTTTAGGTGACCAAGATATTCAAAGAAGAGCTTTAGTCAAAAGAAAGGTTGAAAAATACTTGTCACATGCGGAGGAGTTAAAGCAAAAGGTCAAAGATTCTTTACCTGACGCTTCACTAGAATTACTTAGACCCGGAGTAGTCGTAAAAGTGAGTTATATATCTTGAACATTTTTCGAACCTTAGCAAATTTTGCGCAAATTAAAATTGTGCCAAATGAATTTCAGGAAGCATGTGTTGGGTCGATTGAATCTCATGCAGACGATGATTTCGTAATGATAAAAAGTAATGTAATATCTTCAAGCATCGAGGAGTTAAAAAACTTCAAAGTTGTGGGTTCTACATACAACAACATTTTGGTTGCGGTTGATATAACGGCTCAAGGTGGACCAGATTGTTTTGCAATTAAGGTAAGTATAGTAAATACACATATAATTTTCCTTTAAGAGGCAGAAAATACACTTGAATAAACTGCTTACAGGTTCTGAGAAAGTCATCGTCGTTGCTTGACCCTGAGAAACCTACCCTAATACCTAACACTATCCCCTTCATGGTGCAATTGCTTAAATGGTTTAATACTGAAGACGGTATAATACTTGTTCTTCAGTACGCGGCGGGAGGAAGGTTGCTCAACTTTGTTCAATCTTATCAAACGAAAGAACTATCAATGACTGAAAGCCAGATTCAAGGTGATCCAAAATTTCAAACAATTTTACCCACCCCGTCCTACCACTCGAGTTTACCGTCTAATGTCAATCTAGGTAAATAAATACATATACATAGTGTATTAGTGCTGTCGATTTGTTGAACGTGGAACAAATTGACTTAACTGACTATTGAGATTTAATTTGTTGATTTGTAGAACAAATCATGCTGGAAAATCAACCTATTTCAATAGGACACACGGACACGCTTACTACTAGTCATAGCCAGATCGAGAAAGAAAATCTTATGGTCACAGAAAAAGTAGCGTTAGATCAACTGCAACCAAAAATAAATAAAGTTCCATTGTCATCCCCTGAAGAGATAAATAGACAGAAATTCAACTGGGAATTGGAGTCAGTTTTACCCCCTTCAACTCCATACCCAAATACAGCTCTTGATCTCCAAACTGACGCTTTACTAGAAAACTCCAGAGAACTACTTAAAACCGTATCAAAGACTTTGGAAACTCAAAAGAAAGCTACTACCACTGTGTTAGACTCCTCGATCATTTCTACTAGTTTGGATATTCGAGAGGAATCGTCTCTCTCTTCAACCAATCGTTGCATGGTTGATGTTGACGACTCAATGAGATATAGCAACCCAAACATATCAATCCCAGCCGCTTTTATGGTGCCTAATCCCTCTAATAATCAAATAGAAGATTCTCAATGTAGCGCGACCCCAAGTTTGCCGGCACGAGCTATTCCCGAGCGTTGTGTCAAGATTTGGGCCGCAGAACTGGTTATTGCATTAGATAAACTTCATTCCCAAGGAATAACTTACGGGTAATAAAGAAATGGATCTCGTTTACCATCAATGGGAGTTTCAGAAGGATATTTAATGACATGCATATATATATATTTATTTAATTTAGAGATTTGGACATTAACAACATTTTGCTTGGTGACTCTGGTCATATTTTACTATCGTATAGAGCGTTTTGGAATGAAGTGGACTCAAAATCAGAATCTAATGACTTTTCTGCCCCAGAAGTTGTCAATGGATTAGGAAAACCTTTATGGAAGACGAATCCATCGTCAGATTGGTGGAGCCTTGGTGCTATTTTATATTTCCTCTTAACTGGATTGGTAAGTATATCCTTTCTCCCACTTACAATGGAACCTTTTTTCAAGCTACACGAGATAAGTTTAGTGAATTATGCTAAAAAATCAAGCTAAAAATTAGAAATGACGTGGTACTTATCTTTCCGTTGAATGGGAACTTGGGGGTCAAATATTTGAGGGCAAAGTTCACAGTAGCGGCCTGTTTTTTCTCAAGCGGGCGAGCGGAGGAGTGCAAATTTTCTCCTTCGAGGTCACTCCGCTCCCTTCACTCTCGCACGCTCGCACTTCATTCAATGCATATTATTTTTGACAAAATTTCACAATCTCGTAAATTGCTTCATACATTCATATAATTTTATATTTGCTATAAATATATATACGCTATATTTTATAAATTTTAAGTTATAATTTATTGAACCCATCGTCACTTTTTTATTACGGATCGGTGGATAGTAGGGCTTTAAAAAATAAATATAAAATTATACGAATGTATGAAGCAATTTACGAGATTGTGAAATTTTGTCAAAAATAATATGCATTGAATGAAGTGCGAGCGTGCGAGAGTGAAGGCAGAGGAGTGACCTCAAAGGAGAAAATTTTCACTCCTCCGCTCGCCCGCTTGAAAAAAAACAGGCCGCTACTGTGAACTTTGCCCTCAAATATTTGACCTCCAAGTGCCCATTCAACGGAAAGATAAGTACGTCATTTCTAATTTTTAGCTCGATTTTTTAGCATAAGTCACTAAGCTTATCTCATGTAGCTTGAAAAAAGGTTCCATTGTTAGATATGTACAACTAACACAATCAGTTAGTCCTCTTCACTTATGTCAATTCTTTACACAGACGGTGCAAGATACGCATCCCGAAGGATTGTACCCTGAAACAGTGATATGCGTTCCATCACTTAATATTTTAGAAGAACCATTGAGCTCTGAAGCAAAAAGTCTGCTTGTTGAAGTATGTTGTCCATTTTAATAATGCACTATTATATCACGATTGCTTGACTTTTAGTGCCTAGTTACCCTTAACGGTTGCGACAAATGGTCGAGTTACAAATAAAATAATTATTTTTAAAATAGTTGGTGTAAAAGTCCCTTACAAATACACCAACTACTTTGACCTTTAATAACTTTTGAACGGGCAGACATAGAGACTTAATTCTTAAAGATGAAATCATCGTAATTTTTAGCTTGATTTTTTAAGCTAAAAATTTCGAGGGTACTATTTCGAAGATTGAACTTGAAATCTCCAGTGTGCAGCCCGAGTCAAGCTCGCTGTTATCGGTCAAACCGACCATTTTGCATAGAATTTTATTGTACCAAATACATTTTACTAATGCACTTTACGCCTGTTTTTTGTCAAATAAACAATGCGTATTATGCATTGGTGAAAATTTTAACTAAATATAGGTTTTTAGCCTGAATCAGGGCTTATGTACCCGTTATGTCCGTCTGTCCGTCTTGCGATAACTGTCGTAAAACTAATCGTAGCAATATAAATTAAAATAGGAAAAATTTTCCGAGTTTATTAAGTTCGTGTTTTGTAATGGTTTATATACCAAAAATAAATCACAAAATTATATGCACATCGTTCATTACGAGTCCTGCTCTCAGAATAATGCCATCTTACAAGGCTCTGCAAAATTGTTGCCTTTTTAGCCTAAGTCAGTTCTTATGGAACCATCATGTCCTTCCGGAACACGATAGCCAAAATGGCTGAACCGATTTAGCTGAAATTTTCAGAACGGGTGAGACCGTAGGGCTTGATCCATACAGATTTTTCAAAAATATGTCACTCCACAAGTTTAAATGCATTTGGTACATTACAATTTCATGGAAAATGGTTGGTTTGACCGACAACCACAGAGTCTGACTCGGGCTCACTGGAGATTTCAAGTTTAATTTTCGAAATAGTACTCTCGAGATTTTTAGCTTAAAAAATCAATCAAAAAATTACGATGATTTCATCCTCAAGAATTAAGTCTCTATGTCTGCCGATTCAAAAGTTATTAAGGGTCAAAGTAGTTGGAGACTCAAACGCCCTTTTTGAACCAACGATTTTAAAATGAATTTTTAATTTGTAACTCGACCATTTGTCGCAACCGTTAAGGGAGACTAACGTTACCTAGATACTTAAAGTCAAGCAATCGTGCTATTATATCATTATATATTCATTAATTTTTGCAGTTACTACATTTTAATCCAACTTTACGCCTTGGATACTACGGCGTTGAAGAAATTAAATCGCATCCATTTTTTGACGAGTTTGATTGGGCAGCAGCGGAGTCAGTACAATCTGCATTGTAATGTAATGTATCATGCATTTTTTAAAAATCTTTTTACTATTGTCTTCTTTATCCTGCCATTAAGTTTTCGTAATTACGTTCAATTTGTCGTATAACGTTGAAAGTGCTAAAGATATTATTTTTGTAATAGTTCCGTTTAATTTGTTATGAACTTCTATAAAAAATATTTAATTTACTCAATTATGGATAACTTCAAACTTGGCCTTCATTATTTAGATTACATAAAGGACACAAATATTTTTCGACAATCTAAAGTGACACAAAACATGAAATAAAAATGAAGTTGAACATCTGTGGAAAAATTTGCATACGTACATCTGTACTAAAAGGATTATTTTATGCAATATAAAAGCATATCAAAAAGGAAAATGCTACATGTGTGTTCCTATATTGCAACACACTCATTTTTTTAGCTGCGACATGCATTATGAAATTGGTGACAAATTAAAGTCTAATCACTTATGACGTTATCCGTTGAAGTTAAATACGACATTATTACGGAAGAAATGGAAAGTGAAAAGTTTTTTGTTGTACCCTGCTGACGCTGTACAGCATCCAGCACATTTCTATTTAATTTATGGTATGGTTACATTGCATGACATTTCTTCATTTCAAAATTCAACAAAGTATATGTTAAGATTCAGTGGAAGTATACACTCTGACACGTAGCAGTTCTTTGCGCTTATACTTTCACCACCAACAACAGCATGCACCCACATATTTGGCCTACTAGTTGAACAGAATATTTATGCATGCATAACTAAATAGCAGGCTAACATGGGGACTAGTGTCAAATGATATGCGAATGAGGTGTAATATTGTGCAACGCCGAGATGTGAGGTGACTACATAGGATGGAGAAATGAAAGAATTCTCACATCTCGGCCAAAAATATTACGAAGAGCACCTCCCACCCACCGAACAAGACAAAGTTTTTGGAGAAAGGAGACGGGCCATCATAAAACAGAACACACATGACATGGTCCATGACATACATCTACTCCCTCATCTCTGGGTCGTCTCATTCTCATCCCCACATTATTACCAACATGCACACGAGGAGAAAGCTGGCTGGTGGAGAAAGCAGCCACCAAGATATTCACATCCCTTCTTACTCCCACATATTACATTACAACATTAGGAACCAACATCCAGCTGTTAGGACGTTTCATCATACTCAAAGTGGAGCATTTTATTTATGCACAGCTACATAAAATTGTCGTAAAGGTAGGTATGATACATAAATCTTGCTCATATACTCGTAAGAAAACGGGGACATGGAAATCCAATTTGAAACAACTTTACTGGGTTCTGCCTGTGTATGTATGCATGCATGTCGACTACTTGAGAAGTAAAAATATATTGGCCACCTGCTACCTGCTGCGAAAAAAATCTGCGTGTTCTGATCTGCTGCTGCAAAACAATGGACCGAGGGAGAAAGTGGGACAAGGAAACGAACGGTGAGACTGGGACTCCGTCACTTTCAGCTATTTAAAAAATTTCTCAAAGTTATATATACGAAACAAAAGTGGAGTGAATAAAAAGAAAATGAATTCACTACGGAATGCAAGAAAGTTTTCACTTAGCAGATGACGTTTCAATTTTGTGGGTTTTCTGTCATTTATATATGAAAACTTTATTTGACACTGTTGGAGCCATATCTTTTGTTCTATGTGGTACGTTATGTAACAATGGAGGAACTACAATAATTATGCAGCTTATAGTGAGAATATGGCTTTTCAAGATGTGGAGTGTGGAGAAAATAGCAAAATACGTAGTTTATGTACATATGCATATACAATAAGTATACAAAAATGTATATACATATCTAGATGTATGTATTTTGAATGTCCATTCCATATTGCGTTGTGCTGGTTGTTACGATTTGAGGACTTCATCTATAAGTTTATGGTCTGTGTAGCTCTATAATTGGATCAGGATTATGTAAGATCGGGAACTACGATCGGCTGCCTTCTCCCGAGGAGCAGACTGAAATGTCGCATTTTCTGCTTGAGCATTCTTATACGGCTTCCTCAAATCAAATGTTTAATATGAAAAGCTATATGTTATGGAATATATACTCTAAAAGTACTAATCCTTTTCCCTGTTTCATCAACATGAACGAGCTGGATTTGTTACACATACAAATCGTTTGCAATGCAATTGACACGTTTCTGTCGTGTAAAACTGGTACTGTAATCTGAAGAATTATGCATTTAGTCAAGAAACCGAGCCACATATCCACCCAAACATTTAGTACGGTCGCTTTACCACCAAAAACCTTCACCAGTTCACCCACCAGCAGAACAGCTCGTCAGTACGGAATCCATTAGCGTGTGTGAAATACTGCGAAACTTTTGTGAGCGACCAAGTGTTTCTGCAAATCTCCGTCTAACCAGAGTCACGATATAAATGTATCACGATGTGAATGTATGATTGTATACGTCTCATTGTGAAGCTGATGATAAAATAGATCTTGCTTTAGATTAAGAGATGAATCAATAATTGATTACGATTTGTGAATCGCGTGCTTCTGAGGCGTACATTGGGTGTCTATTTTCAGAGACTTTCTTAGTGGAAACACACAGCGAGGCACTTGACCTCCCTTCCTACTTCTCATCACAGCAGGCAGTTGGTACTTTTCATTTCGTGATCCTAGAGTTTAGCAAGAGTTTCCAGCTGAGGGGAGCGGATTGAATCGCAATTTCGCAATGATCATTGATCGCAAATCAAGACTTGAGAGGAATAAATGTGTTCTCGGCTCTGTGAATTCTGCTGCTGCTGCATGGGTCTCTCTCCGTCAGCCTTCTAATAGATGAGGATTGTTCTTGACTCCACGTTCTTGATCCGCGGATTCTTTCGACATACGCATTAGACTGCTACTCACTCCTTGGTTCGACAGACAGTTGAATTTGGATATCTTTCACTTTTGTAGCCCATCCATTCATCTAGCCAAACCCATGCCCATAATAACACGACTCTTCTTTGCACAATCTCGCCTCTCTCTCCTCGCCCTCCTCGCTTTCTCCCATCAGTCTCTCATTCTTTCGAAATCAGTGACGCAGAGAGATAAAACACTGGTCTCTCCGAGTAGTAATAGTGATGGATTGTGAAGATGGATTCAGTATGAGATCTCAAATCTCACTCAGTATAAGTTTCTATTACTTTCATTCACTTCAGTGCCACACTGCCACTCACCTAATCTCGAGATTGATCTCGCAAAGATCAACTTTGCGAAATGTACCGTTTTTTATCCAGAGAAAGTGAAAACCAAAATGAAGGACATTATGAAAATGGGAATGGGAGCATCTAACTACTATACATATTAAACTGTATTTACAATAATGTATACTCGATTGCGATAAAACTATGTAATGTTCCAAATTTATCTATATATCTATAATAATGCAATAATATCATGCTTGCTTCCTTCAACGGATGCAGTTACAATTATTCCCACTTCACTAGAGAGAGAGTGAGAGTGCACAACAATATGTGTCTCGAGCGTGTCTCAAGTATGGACTTTGGAATTCATTCACTTCTCTGGAGTTCGTAAGCTAAGGATAAATATGGCTGCATTATACATACTATTACATGCGTCGTATTTATAGAGTGTTGTTGTGACTGTTGGGAATAATGGTCAACTATATAAACGATATCTATTATAACCCTCTTTCCGTTTTAGAATGTCGTGCGGTGGTCCTCTTATCATCCACTTTAGATGATTCAGTTTCGATAAGCTGTTTTCAAAGTAGTGTTGAAACGCAGTAATGCAGTAATATGATACCAATAACCGGCAGACGTGCCAAATCTATACACCCACCAGCCTGTTCACCATCACCCCATAAAATGAGCCTTCTCTTCCCATTTGCAAACAATGCGATAAGATGAGTACGTACTTTGCAAGGAAAGGTTACTGTGTTGCTTTTGTGAGTGCATTATTAATAGAAAATACTTTATCTTTGCTCCAGTAAATGAACAACCTTATGTAAATTTCTAGAAAGTGGAGCACATCATTTCATTCATCTTCAAGAATCAAGAAAATTAAACCGTTCAGTATACCAACCCTACGAGAGTGGTTGTTAAAGAAAACTCATCTCAGTGGCTAGTACGTGATTGTACTGGTCCAACTTGTGTAAAATAATTCTATGATCAACAGCTAGACGAACTGAGAAGATTTATAAAGCCGAGAAGCTCTAATTCCGCACTGCAGAACTTTCACTAGAAATTCACATCGACATCATACCAGCAGCAGCATCACTCCCAGGCGACTGTGTGTGTAAATGTATGTGATACATACACATATGCGACCGTATGTGTGTACATACACACAAACGTAGAGAGAGGGAGAGAGGGCGTCCTGAAATAAAATAATCTGGGTGGCGAAATCGAAATCTGCTCTGCCTGGATTACCAAACTGGTGAAATGCAATGTACGTACGAGAAGGATGTGATACCGACCAACCAACAAACCAAGCTGAGACTCACTTCTTGCCTTTCTTGGCTTAGGTGTATTGCCACTGCAAGCATTTAATGTTGGGAGGCGAGTGAAAGTGAAGTTTTCTGTACAGAACAGACGTAAAGGAATCCCACTGGTTTCATTTTACTCAGTGCTGAATGTAATTTAATCACTTGGAAGATCAGATTTAAGTAAAAGTGAAAGCAGTAAAGTTTTCAATCTTTCTTAACGAGTTAGCACAACGCCGGAGACAACACGCTCATGGAATGAACAATTAGAATAAAATGCTGTGGAATTAAAATTCTCGTGCAATTGTTGTAATCCTATTGTCCTCATCGCACATTATCTTTTTGGTCCAATTTCAAAGTCTGTTTTCTTCTCAACTTCCATTAGTGAGCAGATCGTGTATCATGATAAAATATCTCAAAGTAAATACTGCAACAGTGACAAGAAGGCGTTAAGACTACGTCATCATGAGAATTATGTAGGTATGCAAACTGTATATGAATGGCAAAACCCGTGAACTATACCAAACGTGGGTAAATGTACTGGGCTGATATGATATAACCATACGCCTACGTTCAGGAGTAAGTCGTTTCTAAACCAATTGATCGATTTCGAAACACGTTACCTAAAATTAAAAAGAAATGAAGTAGGTTAAGCCGTAATATGTTTTTCCGATTTAAAAAAGTATTGTTTGTGCAGGAAAAATAAGCGAAAAACTAAAAACGGCCATAATTGATTAGTGTACATTTCAGTAAAAATATTCTTGAGATTCAAAATCGATCTAACGAATTAAAAATGACTTGCTGTTGAATGTTCGTTCTTTCTTTGGGTCTGGGCAGCACTTTATAATACTTATGAGTCATACAGTATGTTATTGGGTCTAATTTATCAAAAGTGTTTATTCACATCCTGGTGGTGAGCAACATTACTCTAAAGAGCAATGAATAGAGAATTTGATGCAATAAATAATTCAAAAGTTGCTAAAAGCATCCTTACTTCATGGTCAAATTGTAGTTGTTAATCCATCCATTTCGGTAGTGGTTTTCATATGTGAATAGTACTTAGGAACTTGCAAATCATGCACAGATCCTTCCTTCCAGCCATACACCCTTCATTGCCTCCCTTCAAATCTTCATCTATGGAATTTCACTTCAATCTAGTAAGTGCATAACGTATAAGACTGGGTGTAAGTAAGAAGGTGGTTGCTCGTACGAGATGCGTAATATTTATATGGATGGACTTCTCAAACAAATCGAAGACTTCCAACTTTCTTTCACAAATAATAATAATTTTCTTCTATCATTCTTGCGTGTGTAGGAATTTGAGACAAAGTAATGCAGGAAATTTTATTAATTAAAGCAAAAGTTTCCAGCAATAATGACGAAAGGGAGATGCTGAAACTCGGGTGCAAATGAGCCCAATATAATAGATCCTCTCTTTGTGCGATAGTTAATAGTTGAAAGCAAAAAAGCTAACTTTTCTCACTTTCTCTTCTTTATCTTGTTTTACTGTTGTTTGCCCAAGTAAACTAAACTTTTAGAGGGACATTCCCTCCTCACATCATCATCCTGATAAAACTGCTTTTTCATGCCCACACACCTTCCCTTTCCCATTTCTATCTTCTACCCTAGAATCCTGCCTACTGTAGACCTTCTTGGAGAAAGTTAGGAAGCTAACCGTCACAACACCTTTGAATGCCTCCAAGTGCATAGTATATCACTTTCCAAATGCTCACACACATATCACCGGTTAGTTAGTGAATATTACGAGTCTCGTCCTAGTGATAATGGCAACTTTGCAGTTAGTCAAGAGCGGAAGAACGAAGGGAGCAAGAGAGAGAAAGACTGAAGTTAAGTGCCTTCAATTACCTTTCATCAACAAGGGGTAGATTTCACAGTTTTTTATGATAGAAGTTCGCTGGCTACTTAAACACTGAATCTGCAATTTACTGGAAAAATTCAAAAGTAAATGCATGAAATTTTGTGGAGATAGACTCGGATAGATAGAATTCTGGAATGAATGAAAGTATAGAGATTCACAGTCCAAACTGGTCAGACACACCCCACCAAAAAGTTCCAGGAAGCAACCAGCAAGACAGCAGAAAAGTTTTGTGACTTTTAATCATCTTTATGCGAAAGGTGTGACACCTCATACGCTCTGATTCAGCCTCCGTCGCCTTGTTTTTATCTTTGGAAAATATGTCCACTTGGTTATGACATAGTGAATGTCGCCAACCTCGGCAACCACTATTTCCCCCAACCAACCAAGAAATCCATGTAAGCGAAATTCACCTCTTTTACTGAGCAAGAACTGTTATTGAAACTTTTATGTTCTCTTAGGATATGTACATATGCCCTGGATAGCTTTGGTACAGGAACATATTATTTTGGCATTGAATATCAGAACATTTCCGCTTTTCTGCAAAAGATAAATCGCATTTTTGTACAATTTTATGACCAACCTATATTTCTGGCGTGCGAATAAATGGGCCAACATTCTGTTAAAGTATTTTGTGAAATATTGTTTCTGGAAACAATGCACTGGATTTTGTAGGGCAGATTTGAAAGAGCAGTCTCCCCATGTTACGATTTTTGAAATGTGTATATAAAGAAAGTAATAAATTCCGACGACATAAAAATGCCAATAACACATCAACTCAAGAATAAAACAAGAGGCGGCAGCTCATTTGTATTGTTTATTCACTTGGATTCCGAACGTGACTTACCAAGACGCAGTATTTCGTTTCATTCAAGAACGTTGGAAATACTCTGACGAGAATGGGGTTCATTGAAGCAAAAAGTCAGCCACACACATCCACAAAAAGTAATCTAGATCAACGCCTGGCTGTCACTTTTTCCGAATGGTGAAGTACTGTTTAAACAAAGTCAGACATGTGAAAAGTCGGCCAATGCATCTCTATATTATTCTATTCTGTATCTAATATGTGCGGTGGTGAGAAGACAGTTTTCTATACTTTTCTGATGCACCAAAGCACACATGCTGTGTATGAATGCAGCAACGCCCACCCATTGCAAAATTTGTCTAAATTTTCCCTTCAGCTTCATATGGTAATGCATGTGCCATTGCCATTCAAAAGATGTCAAATGTCAAGTAATTTTAGTATCAACTCTGTCCTCTACTCCTCAAGCTAACTAAGGTATTTTATATTTTACGAATGTCTGTGTTTGTATTTAATAAAATGCTTCTAATAAGTACATACATGCTGCATGTATTTCATCAATGTTTTTGTGTTCAAATAAAGGCTTTACACAATTAAAACAATATGCAAAAGACCAGTTTAGCCGTACAGCGTGACCTGTTCCTGATTCACGAGGATCAGAAAAGTTATTTCATGGAATATCAAATTGCACATAAGGTTGTTTCTCTAGTTTAAGTAGAGATTTCCTCACCATTTGGGGTTTCTCTGCTCACCAAGCCAACTAATTGTTTTCAGTTACATTATTATGTTGAATTTCAGGATGAATCCAAGATTGCTTGACAATTTATCATAATACAAGGTTACGACAGTTGCTTCGATAGCCTCAAAAACCTCCATTTTTGAAGTGCTAACTATTTGGGCCGTCGCTAACGGTAATTAAAGCACACAAATTTCTAACAGAACGCCGAAATAGCCGATTTCACATTTACAACTGCACTGATTCTTGTATCCATGGTTAAAAAATTAATTCGTGGGATGTGATGTGAGTGCACACTGGTTCCAAAAGGTACCAGGGTTTTCGAAAATTGAAGTTTTTTCATCGTCGAAGTAAGAATCGAAGACTGTGAAGACTGTGAAGAGACGAAGTTGCAGTTGGCATGTAGATTATTACAAAAATTATCACATAGTGGCAGTAGTGAAGGGTTCCCAAACGTTTCACTCTCTGATTGACAAGAGTTACATGAATTTATGTCAACTTTTAATTTATTCATAAATTACTACCAAACCAAGCCTTATATTTGCAGCTTTATGTGTTATTTTAACATAATTAATTGGCCTTGTGTCCCTTCCCATGATGTCGCAACCGAAAAACTGACCTCAGATTCGAAATCAGCGACCAAAAAACTATACGAATCAACATTTTCGCAACCTCAACAACGCTGAAATAATTAACTATTAATAATGAATTATTTGTAACAATTATAAACACGGAACATGTGAGGCCGCTTATCTCAAGTGCTATTAATATACATAGGCTATTAATAGCACCCAGTCATAAGTATGACTGGGTGCTATATATAGCAGAACTTTCACCGGGTGCTATTTATAGCAGAACTTTCACCGCCCTCCAGAGGGTATAAAAGGAGCTGCACCAGAAATTTTTGTCAGTCTGCGGGAGGCGCTCGTGGGGGACGGCTCACCGGGTGGGGAGCCGGCGGGGCTTGCCAAAAGTGCGGGTGGCGCTTGGCAAGTGAGAGGGGCTCTCTACCTCCAACCCTTGGATGACGCCGCTCTTTAGCGATCCTCCCCTTGGGGCCGGCCGGGTTCCCGGGTTCGAAACCTTAATGGCGGGTCGATTTACGGGGACCTCCCACCTCGTAAGGCGAGGGTAAGACGAGACCCTCCGGGGGAACGCGGTCGCGGAGGCGGTGACGTGGATAGGGCTTTCCCGGCCGGTGGAGGTAGACCCCCCATGCGCCTCAGGGCGCGAGTGGGGGCCCGCCCGCGTGGAGCACGAGGGAGCGACGTCCTCGTCGTGTGCTCTGGAAACGCCCTTCTCAGGGCGGCCAACAGCTCCCTCGCCTTATAAATGCAGGGCATGGCGACAACCTTTGTCGCCATGCCATAATATCGCCATTCATCCTCCGATTTCCATCAAACTTCGACAGAGACTTCTTTTTGGTGTTATCGACATGTCGCAAGGTCCCACCCGCCGCCACCCCCTTGTTTTCGACAAATTTCGTCGCCATGCCATAATTTCGCCATTTCTCGGCCGATTTGCATGAAATTGAGCACAATGCTTCTAATTGGGGTTGTCGACATGTCGCAAGGTCCCACCCGCCGCCACCTCCTTGTTTTCGCCAAATTTCGTCGCCATGCTATAATTTCGCCATTTCATGGCCGATTTGCATGAAATTTCGCACCATGCTTCTTTTTGGTGTTGTTGACATGTCTCAAGGTCCCATTCATGATCATACCCATCCTCAAATTTGACAGGTATAGGAAGTCTATCCTTCAGACAACCAACCTCAACCGGTGCACAACCGGCAATGTTGTGCAGATAAAGATCCATTGCCTCCTTAATCTGCCTTTGAATCACCACGGAAGTCTGATCCACCACGATGATTGAAAAATTGTCCGGGCTGTGCATATTGAGCAATTTGTACGAGTACTTCCTATTGATCATCAATGGACGATCCGGATAGCACCAAATCCTCATCAAGCAACATTTCAGTAATCAGTCGTCGTTCCTAAACCAAGAAAAAAAGAAATGGTGATGTTTAACTCCAGTTACAAACTGAAGAATTATTTTTTAGCATTATGATGAAGTTTTAAAGTTAAACTATCAAAGACAACTTGACCTTTTGACCCACCTACCGCGTATTATTCTCTTTCTTACCTAACAAATCAAGTTTTATGTTCCTTCAATTTTTTGTCGACAGGCTCGTAAAAACCCTTCGATAATCATTTTTTTAATTAGAAAAGGCAGTTTTCTTATTTTCTTCCAGCAGTCTTTCAGTGAGGAGAAAAGACATTTTGGTCTTTTCTCCTTATTAACTTTGAGTGCAAGATTGCTTGACAATTTATCATAATACATCCATGATTAAAAAATTAATTCGAGAATCGAGAGCACGAAATGTGAGTGTTGACAATTTTTGTGCGGTTTGTTTCTGGGCGACAGTTTGTGCGACGCACACTGGTTCCAAAAGGTACCAGGGTTTTCGAAAATTAAAGTTTTTTAGGCGTCGAAGCAATTGTCGCAACCTTGTAATTATTACTAAAGTTGTCAAGCAACCTTGGGATGAATCAATTCGTTTCCTCTTAAGAAACACCGGCGTAGCCGTTAGTGATTGAAGAATCCTGGTTGAATTTGTTTAGTAAATTACATCAATTGAGACAGTTCTACCATTTTGACAATGCAATGTTCTCCTACGCTCTTGTAACCTTGTGGCTTCTGTGTGTCTCAAAATGCGAAGCTCGAAGAAGAGGAGAATATGTGGAAACTAGATCATTCCACGTCCCTGTCGTAAATGAAGAAGAAGGACCAGGCTATAAAGCTAGGATCATTCTGCATCACGATAAACAACAACCGGACCAAGCACAGATGCACTTCAAGAAAATGTATCAACGAAACTGGGATTCCAATGACTGGGAGAATCCTCCTCGTCAACCACAAGCCACGATCCAAGGCATAGTAGACAAAATATCCCAGGTGAATTTCCAAGTTTGCTTTTAGTTTTGCTTGTATGTTTTAAAATTTAAATGTGTGTGACGTATAATTGTGCAAAGGGTCTCCTGAGCAGGAAGCTATTACCACACGAATTGGAAGAGAAGGAGGCAAAAATTAATGCATTAGGATTGGAACAGATTCACAACCAAACACTGGCGAGAAGTGTAAGTGTGAATTATTGGTCAAAATTTCCTCCATTGCACATCAGGTAATAATCTAAATTGTGTTGAACAGGAGCGACGGAGAAAAGCACATCTACTTTTAGAACACTTGCGTCGTCAAAAAATGGAAGAGCAAAATCGTAAAAAGCAACGTGCCCAGAAATTGCGCCGGCGAAGAGTACACCACATTTAGTAGCATCATGAGGCATCGTGTACTAATATAGAAAAACTATGTATGAACAAAGTCAAGACAGCTTAATTGGACATCATATTACAGACAGAACCTTGGCTCGAAACATGTGATCATCTTTGTAGGAAAAAGTAAAAGAAAGAGTTTTATTAATTAGTGAAAAATAAATAATAAAAAAAACTTTAAAAGTAAAAAAGAAAGTTCCAAAGCTGTACAACAATATTTAATCGAGTTCAATCAAGCTTACGAAAAAGCATGTTCGTTTCAATTAGTTTCTCTTGTCATCGTTTTGACTGAATGCTTTATTAAAAAATACTTTTTATTAACAAAAGCACGAACAAGATGCTTATAGCAAATCTAGGTTAGTAAGCACTGGTCAGCACATGGATGGAACAGCACCGTCCACCACATCGCCCTCCTAACATCATTATATTATTGTGTGTTTTTTATCGACAAAGGAGCCGGAGGAAGTTCATCTTCTTCTTCTTTGGATTCCATCTCCATCCAGCAACCAAATCCCAAGTTGCCTTACTTTGCTTTCACCTTTGATGCAGACAGAGACACATCAACAGCACCCACAATAAAATGGGCGACGCAAAGCAGCCAACAACTTACTTACGCACTTCAGCTCTCTCCTCGTCTTCCTTTCATCTAGGTATTTACTTCCTTCTCTTGACTGCGGCCGTGCTTGTGCTTGTTTGGGTCGAATGTCGAATTGGAATCAGATCAGAAAAGGAGAAGGCAAGAATCAATTGCGAGTAAGACACGAAGAACAGAACAGTGCAGTGCAGGAGGAGGGACCAAGACACCCCACACCAAAGAAAAACTCAAACTTCAAAGAAAGGATTTCTAGATTTTTTTATTCCACGATGTGACTGACTTTCGCATGAGAAGAAGAAGACGAAGCGAGGCCCGAGTTTATTATTTGCGAGGTAAAAGCAAAGTAAAGTAATACAATGGATAGTTTTAGAAGAAAGAAAGAAGGGAAGAAAGATGATGACGAGGATGAAAGGTGGAGGGAATGGCGATAACACTCCTCGAGTGAAGAGTCACATTGCAACTCACTCACACACAAGTTCGCAGACAAATAAATAATATCTGCTCTCCACTTACGTTGCTGGGTTGGAGTGGCCGATGGACGGAGAAAAGGACGTCGGCGGATGGATGAAGCATTGGACGGGAAATCGGGATCGGATGTTACTTTGCTTTGCATTACTCACCTTCGTCTCATGTATTCCTGCTCCGGAAAAAAAGTTGCGACTTTCACAACTAATACTCCTCCGACCAACTTTGATCGCTCACCCGCCCGCTTTTGCTATATGTTTGGTCTTGTGTTAGAATTACGACATTGCTGTTTTGTGACAATAAAGTATCAGATTTCCAAAGCTCAGAGTTACGCAGAAGTAATTGAAACACAAAGCTTTCATAGTTTCGTGCATTTAATAGCATGACAGCGTCAAAATATGATTGCCTTCGTTGTATTGTTCTCCGTTGTTGTGAAGAAGAACCTTGTGTTCAATTTCACTTTATAACATGAAAGAAAAAAGGTGAAACAAAACTGAGAATGTTTGGAACAACTTTATTTGAGACAATTGAAGCATCCAATATAAATATCTACCCATTTTCAAAACAGCGGGAGGAAATAGTACATATATCGTGCATCTTCTCCTCCTTCTGGCGTCGTACTTGTGTAGGTACTTATTTTGGGCCCTTTCTCTCTCCGAGTCTCTCCTCTGATTTAACATCTAATTTTAAACTTTATTTCCGTCCATGAAATTCAATAAGAAGCAAACTCATTCTTGAAATAATGAAAGAAACGATGTTCTCGCGTGCATAAACTTGAGAAAAGTTGTTATGAAATACAACACAAAGCGTTGATTTAAAAAGCGCTAAGAAGAATTAAATAGAACACCCAGAGATGCCGGATAAAAATACATTTTGTATCTCGTAACAAACATTGAGGGCAATTTATCATGCACTGTTTATTATATATGCTCAATCAATATATCAGTACATAAAATAAGCCATTTAAGGCAGGGAATGATAATAATATGTGTGTGTGTGAATTATAAAGAAGCGAGGCGCCGGGTAGAATTGGTATTAAGAAATTATCGCGTCTCACCATCTTCATCTACGACGGTTTGAAGGAGCAAGGACAATGAGTCCGATTTTGCTTCAGGAGGGGCGATATCATCGCATGAATGATGTGGCTCATTGTGTTGCGTTGGGTGGTTTCGAATTTTTTTTCTGCTTGGTTCCATTTAATTCGTTTGTATATCTAGTGCGTACAACCAACAACTGAACACATTTATCTTCAATCTTGTCACTTACCATTTATAATTTCTCCAGCTTTTATATTTTTATTCATAACTTGTGTTGGACTACTCATAATTTGAACTTGAGAATGCACGACGAAAAATTCTTCTCTAAAACGTGACAATAATGGTGTCTCAAGATTGAAGATGTTGACTTAACAAGTTGGCTTGTTTGTGGGCCACCAACAGAACTCTGGATTCATGGGCATTCTCCAGACAAGAATACGGAACAACCCTCATATTATTCCCATTGTTGTGCTTCCAGAGGTGGCACACAAAGATAAGGAGTATATGTACAGTTATTGAGCATGGAGTCAGTGTGGCCAAAAAGCAACCTCAGTGAGGCAAGGCACATTCTAATAATTTAACACCAACGTCGGCGACTATGTTCTGAATGACTATTTTAAAACATTTGATTTCAACGTTAGTTAAATATATGCTTTATTTATTTAACAGTAACAAAAAAACATTATTGTCGAAGAGAATAGATAGATAAAATAATGCTGCTGCGTGGAAGCTACATAATCATTAATTCTTGCTTTTATTACATCCACAGTTTACTACCAAACTTCTGATAAAACCACTTAATAAAGCTAGAAAAGACATTTGCGAACCAAAGAGACCTTACAAATACTAAACGAATTCACTTTATTTAATTGTACATATCAAAATTGTCCACAAATGTTACGTATATAAAACCAACATTTTACGTAGATTCATTGTTGTGAATTTCCACGTGTCTGAAATTGAATACATCAAAAATTCACAATTCAGTTCAAAGAGCTGATTGATTTCGGCAAAAGCTGTTACAACTAATTTGCAATCAATCTTTTAGTTGTGCGTGCAGAAAATGGGATTCGGTTTTATTCTTTGGATATAATGAGCCTAGGCGAGGAGTGTTTTTTATAGGTTTCTTGTCACTCTTTCCTCAAATGTAATTTATTCATCAAGTCTGCAACATTAAAGCACAACAAAATGTGAGCTCATTTTCATAGCTGGGTGCTAACAATCAATTTTGTGAGTGGGGAAATTGAATTCTGAACAAATCGAAGCATTTTATGGTTCCGTGAGAGATCGATACGACGATGAACGAAAGTCCGCTCCTTATTTGTATTCTTATTTAACAGTGAGTAATGTGCACGAAGCCAGGATCGCACAAAAAGCTGTTGACGTGTATAAAAGAAATGGAGAAATGTCTTCTGGAGCTATAACTCAACAAAAGTTGTCATCTCCAATCCAACTTCTCAAATGGTTTGCTATCTTATTTTACTTTCATGTTTTTGATGCCTGATGGTATAACGCAATGGGACGCCGTATATCTTTCAAAAGTGATGGGAAAAAATTTTAATATTGCATCGGTACTAGCTCTCAATTGTGAATTGTGCTCTCTACAAACCATGTCAGCTAGAAGAGCCAGCAGTATACACAGAAGTATTTACGTATGTACATATTTACGTATGTAATATACCATATGATTGATGTAATAATGACAAGTCTAAAAGACAAGGCAAGTTTTTTTGTAAAACTATGTATTGATAAACACGTATGAAACTTGAACACAGATCCGACTTCAGGTTGATCTATTTATTTCGGTATGAAGAAAGCAAGCAGTACAAAAACTGACATGCACAATACAATTGAGATGTATCAAAGACTGAACTAATTCAAACGATTTATTTATGGCCTTATAGACAAATGGTAGCTTTCAAGCAAAAAAAATTCAGGGAAAAAGTGATACGAAAAGTGAGAATAGCCGTTGATACATACAATAGAACCACATGCTTTAGTATAGAAAAGTTTAGACTTTTTTTACAATTTAAATCAAAAAGTTCCCATGCAGCGGTAGTTGAATTATATAAATTTGAGCCGTATTCAGTATTTATATGTATTTAGAACAAATCCATCCTACATTTAATTGATTCGTATTAATTTCGCTATCCAAACATTTTCAATTTGGGCGAAATTGTAGATTTGATACAAGACGGAACTTCTAAATAACCACTTATACGTATAAGACAGCGCAGATGTACATGTGATACGGGTTGACCTATTTTATCGCGATTTCTCATTAAAAGAGCAAAGTTGCATCAATTTTGGTGTCTCCCATGAGCAGCAGAAATAAAGGAGAGGAAAAGTCAAGAATCGTGCTTCCATTTAGATCCAACGATTTGAATTAGCTGCGGAGAAAAAGAAAACCAACAAGGAAAAAAGAAGGGGTTTTGTCGGATGTGGATGTACACACATAAAATTAAACTGGGTGAAAAGTTCCAAAATCTATTTTCAGTTTGCTCCTCCGATTTGGATACCAATGGAAACAAAGTTGCCAAGTGAAACTTTGTTCCCATTTCCGAAAACTTATGTGATATCGAGAGTGAAAGAGAGAGAGAGAGTGTTGAGCGAAGGCGGTGCGACTCCTTTTCTTGCTTTCTCTTTTTCCCAGCACACAAGTTGCCTCATCTCGTCTTTTCAGCAGCATGACACACTCGTGGCAGTCCACATACGAGACGCGATCCCACCACGCTGCCCATCCAGCCTACTCAAAACTGAGGCAATGTGTTGCTATTTATTTCGAAATTCAGGTCCTTAGAAAACAATCTGCTTTGTCTGATCCACACGCCATGTGACGTCGGGTGGCTGTATCAACGGCCAGCTTTGTTTCTCTTTCCGTGCTTCCATTAGCACAATAACACAATTCTACAGACATGTCCAGCCAGACTCCCCTTTTCTTATCGTGTTGATTGGTTTAGTTGGTTTTGGTTGTTTTCCTATTAAGCCTACTTCTATGTATGTATGTCTTTAGAACAAACAGCTAAACAGAGGA